GGCAATTAGATTCACATCATACAAATCGTTTATAACAGCGGACAGATATTTGTCAATGAAACGGTACACATTTTACTGTCACATCCTGTACCTTGAGGCCATGTTGTGTAGGTTGAGTATAAACACAGCAGAGTTAGTTATCGCACGAGTTCACAATACACAGCCAACTAAGTACACACCAAGTTGTGAATTAATATAATGTTGTTGAGATGGTGTTGTGAATGAACGAGTACAGTCAGGAAGTTGTCAATGAGAGGCAGGGGCGGTACTGACATCCAAGCTTAGTGCATTACACCTGTTTCCACACGGCTCTCTGCCGAGCAAACTATAAGTGGCCAACAAGTACTCAGACTTTTTTTATTGCTAGTGGGGTGGGACTAAGTCCCTTGTACTGCGGCCACTTCTGGCCTATTGTACCAGCCCCAGATGGTAGGTGAGGGTGATTGTGGAGCAATTGGTGGAATGAAGTTTGACAGGGGAAACCGAAGTACTCGGAGAAAACCTGCCCCAGCGCCACTTTGTCCACCATAAATGCCACTTGACCAGACCCGGGATCGAACCAGCACCCCCGCGATGGGAAGCCAGCCACTAACCAATTGAGCTATGGAGCGGCCCTTGTACTCATACTTAGTTCTTGCCATTTGTGTGCCTATATTTAGCTACAGTAGGAAACTATGGACTATTTAAGACGTAATGATAAAATCTTTTTGTGCTAACAGCCATGTTGGTTAAAAAATACCTATACCGTACAGTCTGTCGAATATTTACTCCATTAAAACACAATACTTCAAAATGTAAATATGTATCAATCTCTGAATCATTTAGATTAAGAAAAAAAATTAAAATATAACTAACTTCACTGGACGAAGTATTTCTTGAGAAGCTGAATTGGTAAAAAAAAAATCTACTTCAAGTGGAACCCGAAGATCGATTACAATGTTGATAAGAGCTGACCAATGGACCCAGTCTTGAGTCAGCTGAATCCAGTCCGAAACCTTACATCTTATTTCGTTAGTATCCATTTTAGTACTATGCTTACGCCTAAAAGGTAAGTTATCTCCTGTATGGAGAAGTAGTGCCGAGGTTAAGAATGGTGGAGCTATACCTCCGCTCCCCCATATGTCTTCATGGCACACGCGGAGGGCCAACTTTACATTTTTTCTTAACTTACCGTACATACAAGTGTATCGGAGTTTCTGTCGGTTTCCTTGTAGTCCTCTCAGTGATTTGATCTGGTTTAATGGAACTATATCCTGTCGTTAACGTGTGAGACCCGCACCTGAAGGACTGACTCCTATGTTTCGGCTTTTATGACATAATTTGGTGATCCCTAACCTGATTCTAAGTATTTTTATATGCTCAGCATATTCCTTGGCTGCAGTCTGACGGATGTTGATGCTGTATTCATAAACAACATTACAGATGCTTCTGACAGTAAAGTGCCTAACATAATGTTGAACGAAAGGTATTCAATTCCTGATTAGAGCACTCAGAACCTCCCATTCACCAGGATCTACCTCCTCTTTTGTTTTTTTGCGGGAGTGGGGGGTGGATTAACCATTTCTCCGTGTTAAGGTGGAGGCACGCGGTGGCGTAGTTAGTTCAGGCACTATGCTACAAGCCGGAAGGTCGCGAGTTAGTTTCCCGATGAGGTCATTGGAGTTCTTCAATTTACCTAAACCTTCCAGCCTCACTGTTGCCCTGGGGTCGACTCAGTCTCTAACAGAAATGAGTACCAGGAATCTTCCTGGGGGGTAAAGGGTGGAAGACGCGTAAGGGCGACAACCTTACCGCCATCTGTGAGCCGACTGTCTAGAGAATGTGGGAGCCTCGACGTCTCACAACCTAATGGGCCTTCACGGCCTGTTATATGGATAGCTTTACCTTTGGGTGCATATGTATTCAAGTTTATCCGCCTAACTACACATTCTGCAGAGTTCTTGCATCTTTATCTCCGCGTAATGGCGAGGGGAAACTTCTTGTGTAGAGAGTAAAATGTACTGAAGTCTTGCATTAATTGTTTTGACTTCGCGGCTTTAAGAAAAATTTTGAAATTACAAAACCAAAGGAACCAGACCAAAACCAAATCAACTTTCAAAACCGCAGCAACTTGCAAGAAATCGTATTGAAGCTTATTCTTGCGTTTCTCCTTCAGTCGAGTCTGCAATGAAATTTATATGACGCCATGACATTTTTCCCTTATTGGTACAGTTCATAGTCTTAAGCCTCTTTGCAGGCTACGAGCTTGACGGCCGGAGTAAGATAATTTTCTCCATTCCACGGCGTCCAGAGCTCTCGGGCCCACCCAGCTCCTTTTTTTTTCCCCGGGGGGAAAGTGTCCGGGACGTGAAGCTGACCACTGACCTCCTAGTAGCCAGGACAAGAATGTTTGAGTCATATCTTCACTCCCCATGAATCTTCATGGCGTGATTCTTATTAGATTACGTACAGGGATAACTTAACGTATCATTGTTTGGGGTGGGAAATGGATCATTTTTAGCGCGGTAGAGGGGTGTTACGTGTTCAGTTGCTCTTCCGCAAAATGTCTGCAACGACATGAAAATGCGTTGTTTCTATCAAACATTATTTATGAAACGGTTGTTTAATGACAAAGAGACGGATATATATGGCAACAGGTTAGTTGAGTTCAAATGTATGTAACAACATGAGAATCTTCAGGTAACTCCTCAAATAAAGTACTGCTCTAGTAGCTTTATCCATACAATTTTTGCACCAGTCTCGCGAAGGAAGAACCATGGCCGCCGATATCGCAAACAGGTGTTGCAGATAAATAAGAGCCCGGTATAGCCTCAAAACAAACTCCGTGGTTTCAGTCCTTAAACGAACTATACCGCCGGTGTGGTCTAG